GGGGTGGGGGGTGGGGGGTGATGGGAAGGAGAGGAAAGGAGAACCACAGACAAAGGTCCAGTGAGTTGCTGTTGATTATCAACGAGATTAAGGGGTTAAAGGGTTTGAGGGAGATTGAGGTGGGGGCGGCAGGGGCCACTAGGGGTGGACGTAGGGGCTTATGCCACAGCTCAGCTTTCAGCAGCTGTAATTGGACCAGGAGTGCGAGACATTTGAGAAATGAGAGATATTCCAGATGAGGGAGTGTCTTTTTTGAAAGCCTGTTGCGTTCACGTGCGATTCTGAATGTGCAATAACAGCTTGAACTATGATGACATGGTCACAGTGATGTGATCGACATGATTCAGGTACTGGCAAATGTAAAAATCAGTCGCTTGAGTGCATCGGAAATGCATTAGAGACATGAAGTATACCTCAGTATATGAAGCACTAATGGCAAAATACACAAACTATGACCATCAAATACTAACTCAGTAGTAAAGCACGTAATTTATGGGAAAAACAACATATACACTCATGTTTGCGGAGTCTGGGATCTGCAAGAATTTTTAAATGTTTTTGAAATAACAAGGATGCATTTATTTAAAGGGGTCATATGATGCGATTTCAATTTTTCCTTTCTCTTTGAGCACACCTCGCTTTTCAGAATGATGAGCTTTGTAAAAATCGACGCGTTTCAGAAAGGCGGGGCATAGAGGAGAAACAATAATGTACAGTATGTGGAAAATAATGTGTTTTTTTAACCTTAAACCGCATAAACACATTTCATTACACCAAATACACAAAATAATGTTCTTTTTAGCAGCATCATATGACCCCTTTAATCAAAACACAGTAAAAACAGTAACAGTGAAATATTTGTACAATTTCATATAATTGCTTTTTATTTTAATGTATTAAATATAATTTATTCTTGTGATGCAAAGCTGAATTTTAAGAAGCCATTACTCAGTATTCAGTGCATCATGACCTTTCAGAAATCTTTCTAATGAGCTGATTTGGTTCTCAAGAAACATTTCTTATTATTAATTACAGTTGAAAAGTTGTGCTGCTTAATATTTTTATGGAAACCGTAGCTTTTTGTTCAGGATTCTTTGAGGAATAGAAAGCTCAAAAGAACAGCATTTATTTTAAATGCTAAAGTTTTAAATGTCTTTACTGCCACTTTTGATAAATTGAATGCACCCTTGCTGAATAAAAGTATACTTTATTTAAAAAAAGAATCATACTGACCCCAAATTTTTGAACAATAGAGCATCTATATCTACACATCTTTGTGAAAGCCACAAGATACTATACATATTATATATACTATACATTTACATAAACGGTACCGCAACTTTTTATTTATATTCAGCCTGGACATCATTAATGCCTTAATTTAAAATGACATAATTTCTCTAATGTCATCAATCAAAAGCATAAAAGCTGTGGGATCCACACCAGCGGGGCTTTGTGCCATGGTGTTATAGTTAGTACAGTATGGTTTTACAAAAGCAGATTCTTACCAGTTTACTGTAATGGTACTTGCAGTATCCACAGTATTTCACATTATCAGCATCTGAGCCCTGTTCTTCACACAACAACCCAGCAAACTGAGCGCTATATTCAAAGGCAGAGAAAAAGCAACTTTAGAAAGATTGTACACAATGCATATTAAAAATTTGTAATATTTAAATATTTTTATATTAATTAAAACTATTATTATATCAGTTTCAATAAATTACAGGGAAGTCTGTTGCATTTAACATGTCTTCCTATCCATTTAACAAATGGCATTATTAAGGACATTAACATGCTTATGAGGACGTTTAGCTGGAATATTAGGGCTTTGCAACTCACCATGTGACATGAAAGGCTTGTCGGCAGCCATGTTTGTTGCATGTCATGCAGGCTCCACTAGCAGCTTTGCTCTCACGGCCCTGTTCCTCACAGATGTAGCATGTCTAGATAGAAAAAAAACAGTCACCAAAGTGACTCTTCACATATAGAAAGCCGTTATTATGGTATATAATGCATTGCTGCATGGCCCACAGCTTGTTTTAGCGTGAAGGCTCTACCAATTTAACAAGTCTCTCAAAAGCCGCCCTTCCCAGCGCCTCGATTATTAGGCAAGTGATAACCATGCCATTTTAAATTGTCTCACAGTGAGGACTCAATTACCAACAGAGCCAAATCTATTTTATCCCAGATTTTAAACTCACTATTTCAAGCATGTGATTAAACTTGGCTCCTTAGTCCTGCAAGTCATCAGACACACTACTGAATCCAAATCATATAACACTAACTGATTGTATTTTACTTATCTACTGCGTTGAAGGGCATCCATAGAAAACAAAACAAAATTAGGTTTTCAAATGAAAAATGAAAGAATGGTGTCATGATGGCATATCCCATTAGTACTTGATTGAACATTGTTTTCTTTACCCTCAGGGTTGAGCGAAAAAGTTTTAAGCTAACATCTAAACATTTGGACTTTGCAATTACTCTTGAGTTACGGTGATGCACAGGAATCCAACCAGCAGTAGTAAAAACCTACACCTGCAAGTATTTAATATACAATTTAATATTCACTAACAATTTCCATGACTTTTAATACTTTTTCAGGCTTGGAATTGACAACTTTAAAAATTCTCTGGTATTTGAGGATATCCATTGACAAATAAATTTGGTTGGTTCTTTTAAAATTCAGACCGTAAGTGTAAATTCCCATAACATGGATCTCAGTTTTCATTCGTTCAGCTTTGGTGCAGAATTAATGGCAACATTCTATGTTTATCTAAGCTTGATAAATGTAGCACTTGGTCCCTTAAGAAAACACATTCACAGTATAGACCTAAACTCCTTACATGCATACTGTTTACATTGTTGAGCTGATTTATAAGGCTCTTATGTTGAGCCTTTGCTTTCCTATTGATATCCAGGCTATCAGCGTGTGTCTTTCAGTGGACAGGGAACTTACCTTGCTATAACGTTCATGAGGGACAGACTGAAGCACAATGGGCTCCATGGTGGATACGTTGGCGAACTCCACTTCTGGGATATAAAGAGCACAAACCACATGGGCCCAACCTAAACAAGACACATTGACATATGATCAGTAGATGTTGAATAAAGAGGCTAAGACTGGATTTTTCCTTTATTTCTATGCAAACTTGCTGTGAAGATGGAACTGGGTTTATCAGCATAAAAAAAACGACTGGCTACATTTATTAAGATTATTATTATAAATGGATAAGCGAAACAATTTTTTTAACTTAATTTTACAAATTACTTAAATATAATTTAGTGATTTTTCATATAAAACAATTTAAAATTATTATTATTATTAATAAAAATATTTAAATAAATTGTTGTTGTTTTAATTATTATTTTAATTAATATTTTTTATTAAAATTAAGATGTTAAAAGATAAATAATGCCAAATAGGCGGCACTTATATTCAACACAAAAAGATGGATAATGCCAAATAGGAGGCTCTTATATTCAACACATTTTCTGTCTTTTAAATTTATTCGAGACCATGGTCATTTGTTTGCTCATAGTCGTGCCTATGGGGCACGCCTGGCTTCCTCCACAGTGTGAAAAACACTTATTAAAGCATGTGGGCTGAGTGTGACTGCAAAGACGAAAGACCCAGAACTGGAAGAGGCAGAGGCATATTCTCTCCTGCTTAGCGTCTAGACCAAGTGTTGAACCATAGGGTGTCAGTCACAAGCACACTACACAAATATAATATCATTATTTCAGGCTACTACTAAACCTTTTCTCCCTCATCAGCTGCCTTTTAACCACAAAACCCCCAAACTGCGAGGATTTAAATTGAATGACCATATTCTGTGATATGTTTGTTAGAGGAGAGCAGATGCTATTGATATCAAGTTGAAATTAACCTTAAAGAAATAAGCAAATGAGTTCTGTTTAAATAGCGTAAGGGCACAATAACAGGTCTAAACTTTAAGGTGAACCCATGAACTGTCTTTGACCCCAGCCTAAAGGGATAGGGAGGTGGGTTTTGTTGTTTTGAAGTCCCTCCAAGAATCCAGCAGAAGCCTATAAAACCAGGCAATAAAACCCAAGCACACCCCAAAGAACTTCTAAACCCCTCAGACAGAAGGGTGGCACACTTAAAAAGAGAATGATTTGCCAAAGATGTCTTTAGCTGAGCATAAAGTACTCAAATAATCTTGTTCTTCATATTCTAGTTAGACAGAATAACTGAAAACCTTTGAACTAAAGCAACAATTAAAAAAACTGAAAGGAACTATCAGGGAGGCTGGTCTATAGTATGAACTCTTCAGAAGGCTCCATGTGAAGGAAAGGGGGTGGGTTTTTTTTCAGTTTTAATTTTCCTTGCATGTGTTTCAACGCATGTTGTTAGGCCAGGTATATTCCGTGTTTTCATTTGGGATTATTCTTGTGTTTGCATAACTTAGCAGAAGTAACACCTGTAAAAACCTCTCCATGTGCTGGTCTGGTCACTACTGCTGAGTTTCACTCCTCAGTTGGCCCGAAATGTATAGATATCTTAAAAGCAACTCACGAACACCTACATCTCACTTCTGGGATCGCTGCTGGTTCAAACAAATACTTTCTAAAATTTATGTTTCAGAAATCTTCACTCCTACTCATAAATAATGGCAAAACGTGGAATGTTTATCTCAAAGAATTTCAAAAGGTTTTACAAATTCAGAGCAAAAAAAGAGATTACATGGTCTGAAACATTTAAACCATAAGCCTGGGGCAATGATGTTTCCCTCATGGCCGTTAAAAAGCTCACCAGCCCTAAAGATGGGGCATGGTCCCGCAGTTGTGTCCCATGCCATGTTTACAGTCTCTGAGCTGCCCTTGCCGTGAACCCGGAGCATGAAGAAGAGGAGAATCCTCTCAGCCCCACAATGACCCCGCTGAGACCGCCCACCCATAAAAACAAGGTGAGAGATAAACACCCACACTTCCTAACCCCCTTTGCTCAATTACTTAAAAAAATAAACAGACAAAATCTGCAAATTATGTGCGAAAAAATTATATAAAACTCTTGGTTCATTAGAAAACAGCAGTGTTTCCCACATATAGACTTTACTTGGGTGGGCCGTCCAGGTATATTCGGAGAAACATTTTTGCTTTTATTATTTTTATCCTCTTATACTTTTTTTATCCGCCCGAAGTAATGAAACCATCCGCAATCGAAAACTACTGGAAGAACATAAATCGCGATACAGCCTATTTATTATTAACCTTCAAAAAGCTATGATTTCATATTAAAAAACTCGAACTCGAGTTGATGAATTATGACAATATCTACTTTATGGCCCTTTTTATAATATGCTTTAGACGGTTGTAAGAATCCTTATTTTATCTCTCATCTGAAGGAACAGCCCGCAATAGTGTATACATTTCAAAATAAGCGTCCCGGTGTATTTCGGGGTTTTTAATAATTAAAAGTCACATGTTAAGGTTTTTTTTTCTTTTTCTGGGCATTATTGGTATTTTGGTTACACAATAAATTGTATTTAACTTAATTTCCATTTAATTCATATTGAACTATTGTAGTTTCTGGCTGGGATGCTTCCACAAAGGAAGAAAAGACGAAATTTGGTACCGAACGACGAGACGTTTTTCGATACTCGATGGTATCGAGGCAATTCGGTCGGTGCCTAAAAAGTATCGAACTCGATACCCAGCCCTAGGAAGCACTGAACAGTTTAGGTGCATTTTATAAAAAGAAATGTTAAAAAATACACCGGAACTCTGAATGCATTTACTCGTCACAATATTTTCCTGAAACCCAAATAAAATAAAATTACATTTGTTGAGGTGAGACGAAGATATTTTTGACTAATTAACAGCTTATTGATGAGATATGGTATTAAACCCTTTTTACAGCAACGCCTCTGTGATAATTAAAACTGGATAGCAGTGAAATACTCCATACAAGAGGAAATCAATGCACTGCATTGTTTTTGTTTTTTTACAACGACTTTCATTAGACGCGTAAAAATAGAAAGGTGTCATCCTCATCAGAGCATATGTTCCTCTCAAGAGCTTTCATAATTTTATCACCTCTGGGCTGACTTACCCCATTTGAAAACAATGACAATTTTCTTGTTGTGGAGGTAATAATAAATGTCCCACATAGTTGTTAACCCATCAAATGGTTTATTTTTCAAAGATTTTATCAAATATTTTATCTGTTAAACACACTCAACCATCAAAACCTTAAAGCAAAATATAGAGCAGTACAAAACCGTGCACAGCATCACATATGTGTTACCAATGGCTGCGGTGTCTAACATCCTTTACGCTACTGGCCTATATTTAGCTACAGAGTGACTGCAGTCTATTCTTGTCTACAACATGTAGAGTAGGTCTAATGCTAGAGATGTTTTTCCTCAGAACAAGTGCAAAATAAAAACAGTCAGCATAAAGTTAGATGTCTTACCTCCATTATCTGTTCGTTTCAGTGCTCCGTCTTTGTGGGGACACAGCTCGCACCTCTGTGAAAAGAAGAGAAATACATGAATCCACACTCCATCTGACCATCTGCAGACCAGACACAGCTCTGAAGGCTTTCAGGAACTCTACTTCTGACATGGACATTAAATTAAAGCAGAGTTTAAGGGTTAGACATCATTTTTTCCCTTTAAACTAGAGAACAGAGCATCAATGAAACTGTAGACAAAAGCCTTTGATAGTTGACTGGAGCGGGAAAACAGCCCTGAAGAGCTGCTTCTGTATTCAAGAATAAAATAGGACCTGTTCTGCTATAGGAGAAAAACAGGTTTAGACAACATTTTTCTGAAACGAATGACAGGACAAGAAAATAAAACGGTGTGAATATGAGATGAATGATTGAATAAAGACAGCTACTACCCCTTTTGAACAACAAAAACAATAGAGAGGGTTGAAAGTGTCCTCAAGAAATGGGCACTGACACATGGTCTATTACACAGCATATCATGCATAAATACTATGACATTTCACTCATCTTTAAAGCCTTGAACAGGGTTAGATATTGGGGCAAAACATTGTGCTTGGAACCATGCCGTTACTTGCCACATACCACTATGTTCAAAGTTTTTAAACTTCTGCTCAGTCTGCTGTCCTCCTCCTCTTTGTTACAGGTGGTGGACAGTCCTCCTTCTTCAGGGGTCTGCCAGCTCGGCTTTCTCCCCCTCCACCCTTTAATCTTTGGGAATAAAGTGGCAGAGCAGGGCACAAATGGGGAAAAAATTGGCTTATTTTTAGTAAGTGGAGGAATGAGGACAAATGTAGAAATTTTGTTTCATAATTACGCTTTGGGAATACAAAAAAAAAAGGCTTAAAATTTTAAAAATGCTCCAGTAAGAAATCTTTCTGATAGTGCAAGCTATGATTTTCACAAATCTTGGCTAGAAGTGGCAAAAAGGCCACAAAAATACTACATGACAAACCTGTGGATAATAATAGGGAAGTCCTGTTTATTTTCAGACTGAGAGCAGTTGGCATTGAAAAATGTAATGAGCTGTAACAAGTTTCCCCTTCTTGTGACTAGGGTTGGGTATCATTTGTTTTGTTTTTTTACGATACCGGTGCCAAATCAATACTTTTAAAAATTTCTTCTTTCCTATTTTTACCCCAAATAGGACAGAATAAGCATTACTGATCTGTTTCATTCATACTCGTAGCCAGACGGCACCCTCACGCAGAAACCCCAAACATGTATCACAGAAGTAATAAAACTCATGAAGTTCCTGGAAATGCCTAATATGGACAAAGGCATCCAGCCATCGCTGTAGCTGAGTAAAAAGAAGATAGAAATGCTTTGATGATGAAACATGAGGACAATAAACACACAACTGTGACAATATATGGTTTATCTGTGTGCGTCAAGCCATCTCTGGTATTTTCATAATAAAAAAGGATATTTATAATCCAATGCTAATTAGTGGTCGACCGATATATCGCCAAGGCCGATATATCGGCCAATATCTGCCATTTTTCAAATATCGGCATCAGCCAATAAGTTTTTCTGTTTGGCCGATGTGTTCGAGGTGGGACTTTTATTTCGACGGCGCCGAGAACGGCTGCGGCAGCGCCTGAGCACACAGTGCTCACATTCTCCCTCTTGTTCGCTGTTGTCATTCAGTTCTGTCTAATACGGATAGAAGTCTATCTAATAATCAGATAGAACTGTTAAACAAAGGAATTAAAATGTATACAAAAAAGTATTATAACGATTGCTTTAATATTATTAAAGGCAAACATTATAATACTTTCTCGTTTGCCGTCAGCATTCCGCAAATACGCATTTATATAATTTAAACAAATCTTTGAATGACTAATGAACATTTAATTTCACAAACCTTGCAGACTTAGTCGAATCTAGTTGAGATCTTGTGAAGTGTGCATGTGACCTGCATGCTCGCGTGTTCTGTGACGGTCGGTCCTATGGTCCGTGTGAATTGAATACGGACAGGAGAGTTCAGCTTCACTGGAGACGCGCGATCGACAATTTGGTTACAGTGTTTACTTTCTTTTTTAATTATATTTTTATTAAATATTTATTTATTTGTGAAAAATACTTTGTCTTCTAGAGTAGAAGTATGTTTATTTTACATGTTTATTTTTTTAATCCATTTTCAAATGATTTCAAATTTCTTAAATATGAATTAAAATCAATAAAATTATATTGGCTTTATATCGGCCATCGGCCACCCTGCTTTCCAAGATATCGGCATCGGCTGTCAAAAAACCCATATCGGTCGACCACTAATGCTAACTGATACAGCCTTTATTACAGTATAGAACATTGCTTCATTGTGTGACTTCAGATCACAAAAGTAAGCTATTTAAAAAAATAAATAAAAATCGACTGAAACTGCCAGCTGATGTCGAACACGGTGCATCCCTCTGCTTTCAAGTTTATTCCGTGTGTCCTCAAACGTTCATTAGGTTTGACGTGTTTTGCCCTTTACACGCAATTCTTGTAGATGATGTTGTTGATGAAGCACCAGAGGGCAATCGACAGCTCAGACATTTAAGTGACACCGAGCTGAGGCACCAACATCTGCGTTCTGATTCGGTCCGGTACATACTGATCATAAAGGTATCGGTGCCGTTTCGGTACCCCAACCCTACTTGTGACCCACTATTCTTTGGCTCTAAAATGCCACTTATGATTCATTAAAACAACATGTATTGGCATATTATTATATGCATGTAATCACTATGTTACTACATGATACAAATTGCTCTACAAATGGCCAAAACAGTGATTAAATAAATAATGGAGAAAAAAAACATATGACCTCTGAAGCTGGACAACGGCGGACTTGAGCCTGAGCTATAAAGAAGCTTTTTGTACAACTCAACAATTCTGATCTTTTCAGCTTAAAATATTTCAAACCTCTTACCATTTAGACAAGGCAAAAATTTTTAGTGTAATACCACATTATTAAGTCTGATAACATCTGTTATACATATAGGCCTAAGAGTCCTGCCAAGTCATATTGTCTTTATATGCATCAATATACATACAAACTTATTTCAAATTAATCTGTTGGGGAGATAGAAATGTGTAAGATAACGTTCACGTATTAACAAAAACATCTAAGAATGTATCTTTTATTCTCCAGTACTGAAAACAGAACCGATAAGAGAGCTTTTGATATGTGCTGTGATGCAGCTCCTGCAAATGACCTTTTTTGTTCGTTGTCTGTCATTTCGAAGCTTAAGTTGCATACGTTTTTCTTTAGTTTTAATTTGCCTAACTATCGATCTGACCCAGTAGACGCCATAATCCCACTCTGTCTCTCTCCCGCTTTCTGTTTTTTTTTTAAATGGTTGGTGTTTACGCAGTTGGCTAGAGCAGTGCTGATTGGAGAGAACCGAGGTGCGCTC